CTAGACTATAGACTAGACTATAGACTAGACTAGACTAGACTATAGACTAGACTATAGACTAGACTATAGACTAGACTATAGACTAGACTATAGACTAGACTATAGACTAGACTATAGACTAGACTATAGACTAGACTATAGACTAGACTATAGACTAGACTATAGACTAGACTATAGACTAGACTATAGACTAGGACTATAGACTAGACTATAGACTAGACTATAGACTAGACTGATAGACTAGACTATAGACTAGACTATAGACTAGACTATAGACTAGACTATCAGACTAGACTATAGACTAAACTATAGACAATACTATTGGATAAGCTATAGTCCAGACTATAGACTAGTCTAAAGTCTAAACTATATGTTAGACATTCGTCCAAACTATGCTATAGTTCACACATTAGGCTAAACTGTAGTCCAGACATTACACCAGACTATAGACTAGATTAAAGTCCAAACTATAGACTAGACCAGCGGTTCCCACCGATTTTTACTTCGCGGACCCCTTGAAGAACTTATTTAATTTCGCGACCCCCATACATATTTTGATATTCTATTGTTCTAAATAATTGTTCATTCCGAAAATTGACCTAGTCCATTAATCCCTAGGTCTAATAATGTAGAGATGTCATATCTATAAAATATTCCCGTACATTGAGAATATATAATATTTCAGATAGGTTTTCAATTGCATGTTTTGAAGATAGAATGACTTCTTTGTTGATATGTTAACATGATGTTTCATTTTATGATCGTGAGATCTTTCATGTTCATTTTTCTTCAAGGTAGCGAAAATATCAATATCAAATATTGTCACATGTGCTTAAGGAGTCACGTTTCAAAAATTTGTTGCGATTGCAAAGGGTGAACTGAGTAAGTGAGCTAAGTTTTCGGGAAAATAATATAAGAAAGTTGGACTTGTTCTATGTTGTTGCGGAATGCGTTATCCGCATAATATATGATTTGAGCTCTTTGTTAAAGTACTGTGAATTTGGAACTTAAATTTGAATTTTAAAATATCAACGAATTATTTTACTTCATGGTTTTTGGCTACATATTTACGCGAAACGCTATGGATTTTCTGATGTTAATTTAATAATATGTATTGGTCGACAAAATCAAGTTAAAATCTGTGTATCACGTCGGATTGGAATATTTATAAAGAGATGCAAAAAGAGTCACCTCTGTTTTGAAAATATATAATTTTAGTCCTTTCAAACAAGAACACTTTTGCTTACAATTTGATAAACTTAAATCTATAATAAGCTTGTCTTTGAATTGAACTTCATACTCCGGAATACCAGTATCAAAATCACGCAATACTTTATTTTATAAAGTTATACAATAAAATTTGTACGGCCTAGCTTCTTCCTGATAAACAACCGAAAAAATAAAATTCAAAACAACACCAAAAAATTTAGGATTATTGCACAAAAATTGGAGATATTTGTACATACATATAAATGAATATTGTTTATTCATGTTTTTTCGTTCGTCTTCGCGGACCCCCTAGGATTTTACTACGGACCACTAGGGGTCCGCGGACCCCCATTTGGGAACCGTTGGACTAGACAATAGTTCAGACTTTTGACTATACAATAATATAGACTATAGCCCAGACTGTAGACTAGGCTATAGTCCAGACGATAGACTAGACTGAATTCTAAATTATAGGTTAGACATTAGTCTAGACTATTAAAAACTACAGTCCAGACTAAGACTTTAGAAATTTAAATTAATTTTTTCTTGCATTTCATAAAGTTTCTTGAACTTTATCTATTTAATCTCTACATCTCTTCATATTTTCAGGACCATTACTTTTATACTCTACACACACTTTCTAAGCCATAACCATTTAATAATATTATCCTGGCTAATAATCTGATAAAAAATACTCTGCTTTGTTTCAAGCATATGTAAAAGATTCTTCCAATATAAAAAAACATCTGCTAAATCAGTGATTTCTCCGTTTTACTAAAAATATGTCTAGGATTTTATATAAAACTTATTTTACATAAAGAAAAACATAGAAATAGCAAAAGGATAAAAAATCGAAAACTGAAAAATTTTATGAAACAGTTATTTTATTGTTATAACCTTCTATATAAAACTATTTATAACATAAATTCTAAAAAAAATAAGTTTCCTATAAAAATATGCAAAAAGCCTGTAAAGGCTTAAGGTTTTGTTAGAGAGACAAAAAGTCATATTCAAATCATTTTATAAAGTTTATAAAGTTATTGAAAGGATTTTGTGCCTTTTTTTAAAAAAATATGACATCATTTCTATGGCAAAGGCTTTAACTAAAAGGCTTTTTGTTATAAGTTTAAGATTTTGTTCAAATATAAAAAATAAACTTTGTTGTTTATTTAAACAAAAAACCTTTTGACCAGCTGTTAACAATACTATAAACAAATATTTTGTCTTTATTTAAAATTCATAAAGTGGCACGTGACTTAACAGGAAGTGGTAGAAAAAAGTTTTAACAAAGTTTTTGTTTTTGTATAAAAAAAGGTGTAGATTAAGTTGGTGAATGGTAAAATTATGTTTTAAAGTTATGAATGCCAACAGTAACAATAGATTTCATTAAAGTAAAATTACAAGGCTTGAAGGCGTTTACTTAATATTTTTAAATAAATATCAATCATACGCCTAGAGAATAATTTTCAATTAAACTTGTTATAAAAGTTAATGAAATTTAATTGCAAATTATTAAATTCAAATATCAGCGTAAGTAATATTTCGAAATCTAATCAAACTTCCGTGGCGTATACTTGATATTTTTAAATAAATATCAATCATACGTCTATGATTAACTTTACATTTCTTTTTTTATTATTTTTCTTACTTTAATACCAAATCTTTGTTATTTGCAATAAAATTTTTCACAAAAAGTATTTTAATCTGTGGTATAAAAAAACGAACTTTTTTCATTTACTTAACACCAACCAACCTGTCAAGAAATTCTTAAGAAAATTACTCATAAGAGTATTTAATATTTGTTAGCAAAAAGTTCTTTGCTTGCTTTATTTTGCAGCAAAGAATATTCAACAATCTAATTGTTGTGAAGGAGAAAAAGTTGTGGGGATATAAATAGCACAGAGAATTTAGTAAAAAAAAAAAAAGTTTTAACACAACTTTTTTTGCAAACTTCAAAATTTGGCTAAAACTTTGGACAGAAAATATGTTTCTTCCAAACTGGTTTTATGAAAATACTGGTTTTCAGCAAAAGCTTTTTAGAAAGAGCTGGAAAATTTTAAAGCTATTTTAGAAAAGCATAAAATAATATAAAATATAAAAGCTTTTTAAAGAAAAACTTAAAAGTTTCTTAAAGAAAAGCGTTTTAAGCTGTGATTGAGAGCTAAACAAGAAAGCCAATTGGAAAAAGCTTAAATGCTTGAAAACTTTATAGGAAAAGTTTTAAAGCTTTTTAATTACAATATGTACCTTTTTTGTAAACGTTTAAACGTTTGCAATGAAAACTTGAAAGCTATTTAAGGACGTCTTTTTAAAGAAATGATTTTTAAGTAAACTTAAAGCTTTTTCAAAGACAACTTAATAGTTTTTCCAAAGTAAACTTAAAAACTTTTCCAAAGAAAACTTAAAAGCTTTATATTAAAAGCTAAAACCATAAAAAAGCTTTTCAAGATCTTAGAGAAACATTAAAAGCTTCACAGAAACCCTTTTAAAGAAAAGAAAAAACTTTTTCAGAAAACTTAAAACTATTTCAAAGAAAAGCTTTTCCAACGTAAACTAAAAAAACTTTTCTAAAAAAAGTTTAAAAACCTTTCCAAAGAAAGCTTCAAAGTTTTTCCAAATGAAAACTGAAAATTTTGTTAAACAAAAGATGAGGCTTTTTAACAAAAGAAATTCTTAGATCTTTATTTGAATAACTTTTAAACGATTTTTCTTTTCCTCTTCACTGCTCTTATTTTACCCAACACTACGCTGCCACATTGGCATGTCTTTATTGTGCGCTAAATCCATTAAAACTCTCGCTCACTTTCTTAAACTCTTGTTGGTCTTAAACATTTCGCTATGTATTGTAATTAATAAAGCTACAAATTTTCCTTCATCTAAGAAGTATAAAAAAGTTAAACAAATAAAACCAAACTTCAACAAAATAAAAGCACTAACTAAACTTTAATAAAATCATGCAAAAACTTTTGCTTAAACACAACAACAAAGAATATTTTTGGCGATTAAGAGAAGTGTTTAATATGAAACGGAAATAGCAAAGGAAATTGAGATGAAATTAAGTGATAAAAACAATAGAAATTTTTTGAAGATAAATTAGTGGGGAGAAAGGGGATAAAAGAATATTAAATAGATTTGTTAAAGTCACGTGACTGGGAAATTTTGTATTGAAAATTTCATTAAAAGCTTTTTTATAAAATATGTTCAAAGACAAATTATTATAAGCTTTCATAAAACAAATTAAAGTTTAATCTTATAATTTGTTAAAATTCATTAATCATTTACCACAAAATTGGCTACAGAAAAAAATCAATAGCGATGAAAAAAAATTTAACAAAAAATATTTATAAAACACCTGTCTAATTTAATAAATTCCTCATAGTTCATTTAAACACATACTTAGCAAAAAACAGTTTATCATTATCTTGCTGTTGCTACTGTTCTCACTCCTCTTTACTAGAACTAAAATATTTTTGATTAATTTCTTACGTTAAACGTCTCTATTAATTGGCAATTGCCAGACCCACAACTATCAGCCAAAGGAATTCTATTGAAAAGATTCAACAAAGATAATAGATAATTTGGTGGCAAAACATTTGGCATTAAGAATTTGTAAAGCCAAACGGCCACCACTAATATTAAATGGCTTTTCGAATGATTTATTATTGAACAATTAGTAGATTTAAAAAGATATTTCTGGGGATTTGCAAAAAGCTAATTATTCAATCAATTTTATTAAAATTATTTACAAAAATATTAATTTTTATCTGTTCATCTGTTTTTTCTTCTTATAGAATTAGAACCAGCTTTTCCCTATAGAGATGTAACCATACAGAGAGGAGTAGATGCCAATGAACTATATGAAATACTAGGCGAAGTGGGCAGGTGAGTTTTTAATTTTCTAAATTATTTTTAATTTTAAAAAATTTCCTTTTTTATAAATTTTATTCTAAACTATTGATATTCCCACTTTTTTCAGAGGCAAATTTGGCACTGTTTATAAATGTCAGGATAAAAGTAACAATTTAAAATTGGCTGCCAAATTTGTACCCATACCGAAGCGTGAAGATCGTCGTAATGTTGAACGTGAAGTGGAAATTATGAATTCGTTGCAGCATCATTTGATTATACAATTATATGCGGCGTATGAATATCAGAAAATGATGTGTGTCGTCCAGGAATTGTAAGAATGAGCTTTTTAAAATTTTTTATTTGTTAGAAACTTTTTTGTAAAAAGCACCTAAAGTAGGGTATAAAATGTATAAAAAGCTTGCTTTAGGGAATTTTATTATTTGAGACTATTTTTCAAAAGCTTTTATATTTATTATAGAAATACGAAAGCTATTCTTAAAAATCTTTTCAACAATTTCTATTAAAATGTAAAAATCTTTTAAAAAGTTTTAAAACTTTAATTTAAAGATATAATATTTTTGTTAGAAAGCTTTATATCTTTCATTAGAAAGCTTTTAATCCTTATTTAGAAAGCTTTTAATCTTTCTTTAGAAAGCTTTTAATCTTTCTTTAGAAAGCTTTTAATCTTTCTTTAAAGAGCTTTTAATCTTTCTCTAGAAAGCTCTTAATCTTTCACTGGAAAGCATTAGTTGTTAGAAAACTTTTAGTCTTTCATTAGAAATCTTTTAATCTTTCACGGGAAAGCTTAAAGGAATCGTTAGAAAGCTTTTAATCTTTCATTATAAAGCTTTTAATATTTCGTTAGAAAGCTTTTTTTTCATTAGAAAACTTTTAATATTTCGTTAAAAAGCTTTTAATCTTTAGTCAGAAAGCTTTTATTAGAAAGCTCTTGAGAAAACAATTTTTTAAGCTCTTGATAAAAATTATTTTAATTATTTTTAACTTTAAAAATCGTTTTTTTAAATTTTTGTTAAAAAGCTTTCAATACTTTGTTAAAAAGTTTTTTAAAGTTTTTTTTTTTAAATCTTTCATTAAAAGTATTTAAATTTTCTTTAAAAAGCTTTTTGAAGCTTTTGAATATATTTTGTTGAAAAGTTCTTTTAAGCTTTTGCTTAAAATTGATTTAAAAAATGTGTTTTAAACATTTCTTGAAAGCTCTTGTGAAACGTTTTTTAAGCTTTCATTAAAATGCTTTTGCTCAAAAGCTGTTTTAAGTTTTTTTAAATTTTTTTGGTGGGAAGTATTTTAAAGCTTTCTAAACCTTCATAGATTTCTAAAGAATCTATGAAGGTTTAGTTAAATAGCTTATTTAAGCTTTTTGTTATTTGATAAATGTGTTTCTTAAAGATTTTGTTCAAAAGTTCTTTTAGACTTTTGCTTAAAATGGTTTTAAAAAATGTGTTTTAAGCATTTCTTAAGAATCTTTTTGAAAAAAGTTGTTTAAGCTTTTATTAAAACACTTTTGTTCAAAAGCTGATTTGTTCAAAAGCTGATTTAAGATTTGTTCTTAAAAAGCTTATTTAAGTTTTTGTAAAAATGCTTTTTAATAAAAGTCTTTCTTAAAAGTTTTTCTTTTGCATACCTTTTGTTGAAAATTTCTATTAAGCTTTTGATTAAAATGGTTTTAAAAAAAGTTTTTTAAGCTTTTCTTAAGAATCTTTCTGAAAGCTCTATTGCAGCTTTTTGTAAAAAAAGTTTTTAAAATTGTTTAGCTTTTTTAAAGCTTTATACAAAAAATGTTTTTAAACTTTAATTAAATTGTTTAAAAACTCAATTAGTAAAACGTTTTTTTATATATGAGAAAATAAGAAGCTTTCATTAACAAGTTTCATTTCTTAAAGAACATAAGGCTGATATTAAAAAGCTTTAAAGTTTTTCTTAAACAATAGCTATATATTCTAAAGTTTTCTTTAAAGTTTTTTATCAAAGCTTTACAATTTTCCATAAAGGAGATTTAAACTTTTTCAAAGCTTTTTTAAAAAGCATTTGAAAGCTGTAATTTAGAGTCTTTAATAAAAGAATGTTTAGAGGCTTTAAATAAATGGCTTCTGGCAGTTTTTTCCAAATAACTTTTAAAAGCTTTTAAGAAATTTTATTTAAATTAAGATTTTGTTAATATTTTTACTTAAAAGCTTTACTTAAAAGCAAAAAGCCTAATTTGAATAAAGAATGGCAGAGTTGGTATTAAATTGTTTCACGAGAAACTCAGCATTTCAAGTATCAAAACTTTATTTTAAAACATTCCATAGAAAAGCTTTCTCAAAGCATTCATTAAGTTTATAAAAAATTTAATTAATTGCTTAGTTGTGAGACAATATTGGCAAACCAAAAATCTTTTTTTAACCTTTAATATCAAATGCAAACTTGAGCTTTAATTTAAGCTTTTTTAAAATGCTCTCTTGTGTTTTTCATTATTTCTTTGTTTTTATTCAAATAAAATAAATAATTTAACAATTGCAGTGTAAAAAGGTCTGCTGTATTTTTCAATTAGAAAAGGGAACTCATTAGTGGTTTGCGATTAAAGCTTAAAAGTTCTTGATCGGTCTGTTTCTTAATAAAAACCTAAACCATGTGTTTCAAAATTATGGCAGAAAAATTAAAGAAAATTATACATTTTGCCTTTAATGTGAATATAAGATTTGCTCCTTTCTTAGTTATACGCATAGAATTTATGGAAAATAACAATAAAAGAGAAGTTTTAAGGAAAAGTGTTAAAAATAAAAGAAAAAGTTTTAGAAAAAGAGTGTATAGTTGAAAAAGAAAACAACATTTGTTTGAAGCTGTTATTGTTTTTAAGTTTAAAACTATAATTAAGGTAAATTTAAGATTTTTTTTTTTAATTTATTTAATTGTTTGTAGATGATTGGCATTGATTAGTTTAATTGGCATTATTGTTAAAATATTTATATTATAATGTCTGAGTGTTTGTTCGATTTGAAGTCATAAGCAAAAATTTTAGTTAGAAATCGACATCAAAATATCTATTTGTTTAAAATTATTTGCTAGAATTTTAATTACTTAAAAATCAAATTCTATTTAAATGCAAATTTAGTTTTTATTAAACTATAAATTGTTCAATTATTAACAAATAACCCAGTAAAAAGTATTAGATTTCCAAACTAGTAGACAATAGGCAAAAACTTTATTAAATATTTATTCCAAATAATTTGTTGGTTTCTTATAATTTCTAGAAATAAGTTTATGAAATCAAAATATTATTTCATTTTTATTGATTCTTTAAAATTTATGTCAACCTTGACCCAATTGTTGTACATTTTCTTAAAATCTACAAATTATAAAACAATATTTTTTCATTTTATAATTTCTCATTTTTTCTTGTTTGAAATCCTTATGGTTTAATTTAATTTTAATAAATTTTCCAGTTGTGACCATAAAATAAATATTGTTACAACTCTCTCTAGTCCTCACAATGAAAAAATACAAATTTATTCTTCTTATAGGAATTTTAAAGCAAAAACAAACAAACAGAAAAAAAACCGAAAGGAAAACATAAAAATATATTGAAAATAAAAGTTCAAAGTTATAGAAAATGAAGTTTATAAATTTTATAATGCAAAAAAAAAAAAAATACATAAGAAAAACACAACATTCCATAAAAACTTAATAATTTGTTTAAAAAAAGTTTTTAGAAAAAAATTGCTAACAAAATTTTTTCCGCATCGATATGGAACACTTAAATTTAATAGTTTTAAATTGTGAGAGTGAACATCTAATATTAATTTGAATTGAAAAGCTTTAAAGCCTAAACATTTTTATTTAAAAACTCTTGCAGTTACCGAGGAAAAACATTTTAAATTTCAGAGTGTAATTCTTACTCTTAACAATATTTTAATTATAAACAACATGTCCTTATATAACAAGTAAATTGTTCATTTTCTAGCTTTTAGAAAAATTTTGATACATTTTTATTGCTGTTGACTCCATTTATGACCAAACGTAGATCTGAACCAGAACTGAACTAGAAATGACTAGAACTGAACTAGAAACTGAAACTTAAGAACTGAACTAGAACTGAACTAGAACTGAACTAGAACTGAACTAGAACTGAACTAGAACTGAACTAGAACTGAACTAGAACTGAACTAGAACTGAACTAGAACTGAACTAGAACTGAACTAGAACTGAACTAGAACTGAACTAGAACTGAACTAGAACTGAACTAGAACTGAACTAGAACTGAACTAGAACTGAACTAGAACTGAACTAGAACTGAACTAGAACTGAACTAGAACTGAACTAGAACTGAACTAGAACTGAACTAGAACTGAACTAGAACTGAACTAGAACTGAACTAGAACTGAACTAGAACTGAACTAGAACTGAACTAGAACTGAACTAGAACTGAACTAGAACTGAACTAGAACTGAACTAGAACTGAACTAGAACTGAACTAGAACTGAACTAGAACTGAACTAGAACTGAACTAGAACTGAACTAGAACTGAACTAGAACTGAACTAGAACTGAACTAGAACTGAACTAGAACTGAACTAGAACTGAACTAGAACTGAACTAGAACTGAACTAGAACTGAACTAGAACTGAACTGAACTAGAACTGAACTAGAACTGAACTAGAACTGAACTAGAACTGAACTAGAACTGAACTGAACTGAACTGAACTGAACTGAACTGAACTAGAACTAGAACTGAACTAGAACTGAACTGAACTAGAACTGAACTAGAACTGAACTAGAACTGAACTAGAACTGAACTAGAACTGAACTAGAACTGAACTAGAACTGAACTAGAACTGAACTAGAACTGAACTAGAACTGAACTAGAACTGAACTAGAACTGAACTAGAACTGAACTAGAACTGAACTAGAACTGAACTAGAACTGAACTAGAACTGAACTAGAACTGAACTAGAACTGAACTAGAACTGAACTAGAACTGAACTAGAACTGAACTAGAACTGAACTAGAACTGAACTAGAACTGAACTAGAAATGAACTAGAACTGAACTAGAACCGAAGTAGAACTGAACTAGAACTGAACTAGTACTGAAGTAGAACTGAACTAGAACTGAACTAGTACGAACTAGAACTGAACTAGAAGATTTCTGTAGTTTAAAGCTTTGGACTTTCTCTGAAAATTTATAATGTCATAAGATTAAGCTTTAGAATTGCTGAAGTTTAGGCTTTTATAAACTTTTTAACATTTTTCTAAACCCTTTAAAGCCTTTTTATTTTAAATTATTTAATGGATTTATAATTTCTTGTTTATTTATCGGAATAATAAAAGCTTTTACTTATACATAGAAGCTTATTAAGGTTTTTAATATGTAAATGCTTTCAGAATGAATAGAACTGAACGGAAGAAAATTTGTAGAAGCTTTGGAATAAAAGCTTTGTAAAATACTGCTTTTAGAATCTCTTTAAAGTCTTTACGAAGTCTTTTTAGATGAATCGTGCCACAGTTATCCTTTCTCTGCTTTAACTTGCAATTTTAAATAATTTATATTTAAAAAGCTTTCTCCTGGTATTTTATATGTTTTATATCCTGCTTTAAATATAAACACTATTGAATTATAAGCTCTAAAAGTAAAGTAAATTTTTAAATATAGAGAGAAAGACTGAAAAAAATATTTAAAAATTCACTTGAAAAAACACCAACACAATGCAAACAAAAATATATTAAACAAAATTTTATCATCCTATAACAAAAAAAAAAGATAAAATTTTGTTTAATATGAAAACACTATTAATGGAAGACCACAAACTATTCTCTCTTATTATGTACAAAGTTATTAAAATATTTTTTTTAAATAGTTTAATTATAAAACAATTTTTTCATTATTTTACTACAAAAACTATTTAATGTTTTAAATTTCTTTTCAAATTTAAATTCTATAGAGTAGAAGGTGGTGAACTATTCGATCGTGTAGTGGATGATGAATTCGTTTTAACGGAACGTGTCTGTGTCGTCTTCATACGTCAGGTGTGTGAGGCCATGGAATTTATACATCGCAATAATATTTTACATTTAGATTTGAAACCAGAGAATATTTTGTGTTTAACCCAGGAGGGTAATCGCATTAAAATCATAGACTTTGGTTTAGCAAGAAAATTTGATCCAGACAAAAAACTACAGGTAGGTAAACAATAGCTTTGTGAGACATGTTTTGTTGTAAGTTGTTGTTTTTTTTTAATCTTATTAACATATTTTGTAATAAACACCTTGTTAATTACATGCTTGTGTGGAATTTTTTATTTTCAGTTTTTAATTTGATTTTATTGTCTGTTTTTTAAGAAAGTCTTATAGAGAATGTTGTTTCCTTGAGTTTGTATTGGAACTAAAATATTTCCATAGTTCATTGTACATGTGACTTTAATTTGTATTTTTAATTTCATTTTATTTCTTTATTCACATACATACATATGTACATATATTCAGCTATAAAAAGCTAATTAAAAAGTTTAAATTCTTTGTTTTACAAGAAGCGGTGTCTTATAGAAATTTCTATTAACATAACCCAGCAAAATGTCTTGACTTAAGAGAAAGCTTTTGCATTAATTATAATCTAAAACTTTTGAAACAAATTGTATTTTTTGATATTTTTATTAGCAAAATTCCAAAAAATACCAGTATTAAGTTGAACCAAAAGTTTTACTTTTATGTGTACCTCCCTAATATTTTGTTTATAATATTTTTTATTGTAAGCTTTCTTTTATTATGTTCAAGGGTGTTAAACAAAAACTTCTTGTCTTATTAACAATAAGAAGAGAAAAAAGCGAACTAAATTAAAAATTTGTTTGGGGTTAACTTTCTCGGTAAAAGGAGAAATTTTTAAGAAATTTCAAATTGAAATGCACCAAGTAAAATTAATTAAAAGCACCAAAACTTACAAAATTTTTTTAAAAGTTTAAGCTTTGTTAAAGCTTAAAGCTTTTGTAAAACTTTGATATTTAGAGCGTTTTTAAATCTTTAAGATTAAACATTTTTAAAGTTTTAAGATTCAAAGCTTTTTAAAGCTTTAAGATTTAGAGCTTTTTTGAAGTTTTAAGCTTCTTTAAACTTTGAGCATTTTTAAAGCTTTACGCTAGTTTAAA